GCAGCACGATTCAGCTTTTCACACAGCCCAGGCTAGGAACAGCTTCCCACGTGGAAAAGCTCTCGTGGAAGGAGCAACCCTCCCAGCCTCGGGGAGGAGGGCAGCCAAGGGGTTGGCACAGCACCCCATCCCAGCCCACCGTGTGAATGCCCCTCGGGATGCCAAGGTGGCTGGCAAAGCGGCGCTGGTGGCACGCAGCCCTGCTTTCTTGAGCTCCAAAATTAAACAGCTTTGTCCCCAGCAAGCCCCAGCAGGATCCCGAGTGTCTGGGCCTGTGCCTGCCTGAAGGATTCCGAGATAATGACGTGCATTTTGGCAGGATTACCTCCGTTTTCTGACTTCTGGGAGATGTCAGGGATCTTCCACAATATCCTTTGCTGTTCGGCATTCCTGCAAACACACGGAGAAGATCATTTCTGTAGGAATCAAGAAATTGCCAAGGAGTAATTTGAATTTTGCTAAAGGCTGGGGGTGGGTAGACAGGAGGGGGGAACTACTCTGGAGCAGCAATTCTGGGAGCTTGGATTTGGGTTTCAAAGCAAGTAAAAGTTCACGTGCTGGGCTCGTGGATGGACTTGATAGTCTTAGCAAGCTTTTTCAAATAAAATATTTGTGTGATTGCTATGAGGATTGCAGGTGAGCCTAGGGCAGCGACAGCCACATGTCCGTGCATCCCAGAATCCCGGACTGCTTTGGTTGGAGGGGACCTTAAAACTTATCCAGTGCCACCCCAGCCATGGCAGGGACACCTCCCGCTGTGCCAGGCTGCTCCAAGCTCCCACTATTCCCACCCAGTGCCAGGACCTGCCTGTGCATCCCTCTAAACGCCGGATCAAGCAGCCAAACCACCAACTAAGGGCTGGTGCTCTGCCCCTGCACTTCTCCCTTCACCTCGGACCATTTCCCGGTGGGAACGGCACGAGAAGGGAATCAGAGTGGGGTTAAAGGCGTCCCCCTACGAGAGGAGGGCAGCTCTGGGTGCCCGGCGTGTGCCCAGCTCCCCACCACAGACCCTGCTGTGGGCAGGGGCAGGCCGAGCAATCCCTACCAGACAGCAGGAGGAAGCACAGCTTGCAGTTTGGTTACTCCTCCGTCGACGGGGACGAGGAACTGGACGTTGTTTAGAGCTACAGGCGTGGTCATTGCCTCTGTATTGTATTTGTAGTCGATGCGCAGGTCAGTGCTTGCAGGGTCACACCGCCAGCTCACTGCAAGGTTTAATGGAGTAGACTGAATACCCTGGGCAGATACCTTCCAAAATGACAGAAAAAACATTTAGTTTCCGTAGGGCTGAAGGGAGAAATCCCGTTTTACAGACACAGACATCGCATTGTTGGGGGCCAGCCCTCGAATTCCCGCTGGATTTAGTACCGGGCTTAAAGCCAGGCAACCCAGGGCCACACAGGAGGGACAGTGGGACACGTCCCCCACCTCACCACAGCTCCACTCTGCACTGGGGAAACACCATTTTTTACACTGACCACTTTTTATTTTACATTGGCCACTTTTTATTTTACATTGGCCATTTTTTACAGCCATAATCAGCATACTTTTTTTTTTTTCTTTTTTTTTTGGTTACATTTTTTTCTCAAAAAAAAAAAAAAAACCCAAAAACCCAACAAAAACCCCTACCTGGTATTTGAGCATATCCACATTGTAATAGGTGGCTTGAGGTTTCTGTTCCGATACCTTCTTTAGGTGAGTCATCAGATTTGGCATGTTGACCCAGAACTCCTTGGAGTTGGAGTCACTCTGCACGGTGTCACTGCACGGAGGAGAAGGAGCCTTTTGGACAACCTGCCTGGGCAGGAGAGCTGTTCTACACAGCTGCACTCCATCCCACCCCCAGAGGAACATCACACAATCACACAATCCCAGAATCACGAGGTTGGAAGAGACCTCTGAGATCATCATCAAATCCAACCTGTGCCCTGACACCACAATTAGACTACAGCACCAAGTGCCAAGTCCAGTCTTTTTTTAAACCCATCCAGAGATGGTGATTCCACCACCTCCCTGGGAAGACAATTCCAGTATTTTATTATTCTTTCAGTGAAAAATTGTTTCCTAATATCCAACGTAAACCTTCCCTGCTGTAGCTGAGGCTGTGTCCTCTGGCTCTGTCAGTGCTGCAGGTGGAAGAGACCGACCCCACCTGTCTGCAACTCCCTTCAGGAGCTGTGGAGAGCAATGAGGGCACCTCTGGGCCTCCTCTTCTCCAGCCTGAACAGCCCCAGCTCCTTCAAACTGCTCACAGGGCTGAACAGGCTGAACAGCCCAGCCTGAACAGCCCCAGCTCCTTCAGATGCTCCTCACAGGGTTTGTGCTCCAATGCCCTCACCAGCCTCGTTGCCTCCTCTGGATGCACTCAATCATCTCAGTGTCCTTCCTGAACTGAGGGGCCCAGAACATTGGCTCCCTCCCACACAGCTCCAGCTTGTCCTGATCCATCTGCACTGGGATTCAGAACCCCCAAATCCTGGGCTGATCCCCCAGTGTGGGCAGCAGGAAAGGGGGGGATTCTGCCCTTCGGCTCCTCCCAGGTGAGGCCCCACCTGCAGAGCTGCCCCAGCCCTGGGCCAACATCAGCAGGACCTGGAGCTGCTGGAGAGAGCCCAGAGGAACCCCCGGAGCTGCTGCAGGGCTGGAGCCCCTCTGGAGCCAGGCTGGGAGAGCTGGGGGGGCTCCCTGGAGAGGAGAAGGATCCAGGGAGAGCTCAGAGCCCCTGGGAATGTTCCCCTGGAGAGGAGAAGGATCCA